AATGGCGTCGTACTTATTTTCGTGTTTTTCGTGATACAATGTTCAGACTTTCTCCATGTGGTAGGCCGTTGCGAAAGTCAACAAGGGTGTTGGGGAATTTTTTGATTAAGATTTTCGAAATTCATTGCCGTTCTCGAGATATTTGAGAGAATATGTATATCGGGACTTGAAAAAATCTCATCAAAAATATTACTTCTCCAATTTTTTTTCTAGTAAAGAGGCAATTCTGAGTAACAATGTATAGAGAATTTTTCGTTGATCGTCTTGATTTCTATCGTATTTTGGGCAAAAAACATACAATTGTCACTCACTTCTTTTTTTTTTTTTCAATGAACTTAGAATTATTTCGCGTCATGACGTCGTACTATATTTTCTGTTTTTCGTGATACGGTGTTCGAACTTTCTCCATGTGGTAGGTCTCTGCGAAAGTCGACAAGGGTGTTGGGAGAATTTTTCGATTTATATTCTCGATGTTTTGTGCCGTTCTTGGAAAATTTTAGAAAATATGAAATCGGGACTTGAAAAAATCTCATCAAAAATATTACTTTTCCAATTCTTTTTTCCAGTAAAGAGGCAATTTCGAGTTACAATTCATGAAGACTTTCTCGTTGGTTGTCTTGATTTCTATCGAATTTTGGGCAAAAAACAAAAAATTGTCACTCACCTTTTTTTTTTTCAATGAACTTAAAATTATTTCGCGTCATGACGTCGTACTAATTTTTATATTTTCCGTGATACGGTGTTCGGACTTTCTCCATGTGGTAGGCCTTTGCGAAAGTCGACAATGGTGTTGGGTTATATTTCGATTTAGATTTTCGATATTTTGTGCCGTTCTCGAGATATTTGAGAAAATATGGATATCGAGAACAATTTATGAAGACTTTTCCGTTGGTTGTCTTGATTTCTATCGAATTTTTGGCGAAAAACATACACTTGTCACTCATTTCTTTTTTCCAATGAACTCAGAATTATTCCGCGTCATGACGTCGTACTAATTTTTTTGTCTTTCGTGTTACGGTGTTCGGACTTTCTCCATGTGGTAGGCCTTTGCGAAAGTCGACAAGGGTGTTGGAGTATTTTTCGATTCATATTCTCGATGCTTTGAGCCGTTCCCGCGATATTTGAGAGAATATGAATATCGGGACTTGAAAAAATCTCATCAAAAATATTACTTTTCCAATTTTCTTTTCCAGTAAAGAGGCAATTTCGAGTAACAATTCATGAAGACTTTCTCGTTGGTTGTCTTGATTTCTATCGAATTTCGGGCGACAAAAAATACACTTGTCACTCACCTTTTTTATTCAATGAACTAAGAATTATTTCGCGTAATGGCGTCGTACTAATTGTCGTGTTTTTCGTGATACAATGTTCAGACTTTCTCCATGTGGTAGGCCGTTGCGAAAGTCGACAAGAATGTTGGGGTATTTTTTGATTAAGATTTTCGAAATTCATTGCCGTTCTCGAGATATTTGAGAGAATATGTATATCGGGACTTGAGGAAATTTCATCAAGAATGATACTTTTCCAATTATTTTTTTCCAGTAAAGAGGCAATTTTGAGTAACAATGTATTGAGATTTTTTCGTTGGTCGTCTTGATTTCTATCGAATTTCGGGCGGAAAACATACAATTGTCACTCACTTGTTTTTTTTTTCAATGAACTTAGAATTATTTCGCGTCATGACGTCGTACTATATTTTTTGTTTTTCGTGATACGGTGTTCGGACTTTCTCCATGTGGTAGGTCTTTGCGAAAGTCGACAAGGGTGTTGGGAGAATTCATCGATTTATATTCTCGATGTTTTGTGCCGTTCTCGGAAAATTTTAGAAAATATGAAATCGGGACTTGAAAAAATCTCATCAAAAATTTTACTTTTCCAATTTTTTTTTCCAGTAAAGAGGCAATTTTGAGTAACAATTCATGAAGACTTTCTCGTTGGTTGTCTTGATTTATATCGAATTTTGGGCAAAACACATAAAATTGTCAATCACCTTTTTTTTTTCAATGAACTTAAAATTATTTCGCGTCATGACGTCGTACTAATTTTTTTGTTTTCCGTGATACGGTGTTCGGACTTTCTCCATGTGGTAGGCCTTTGCGAAAGTCGACAATGGTGTTGGGTTATATTTCGATTTAGATTTTCGATATTTTGTGCCGTTTTCGAGATATTTGAGAGAATATGGATATCGAGAACAATTTATGAAGACTTTTCCGTAGGTCGTCTTGATTTCTATCGAATTTTTGGCGAAAAACATACACTTGTCACTCATTTCTTTTTTCCAATGAACTCAGAATTATTCCGCGTCATGACGTCGTACTGATTTTTTTGTTTTTCGTGATACGGTGTTCGGACTTTCTCCATGTGGTAGGCCTTTGCGAAAGTCGACAAGGGTGTTGGAGTATTTTCCGATTCATATCCTCGATGTTTTGAGCCGTTTCCGCGATATTTGAGAGAATATGAATATCGGGACTTGAAAAAATCTCATCAAAAATTTTACTTTTCCAATTTTCTTTTCCAGTAAAGAGTCAATTTTGAGTAACAATTCATGAAGACTTTCTTGTTGGTTGTCTTGATTTCTATCGAATTTCGGGCGACAAAACATACACTTGTCACTCACCTTTTTTATTCAATGAACTAAGAATTATTTCGCGTAATGGCGTCGTACTAATTTTCGTGTTTTTCGTGATACAATGTTCAGACTTTCTCCATGTGGTAGGCCGTTGCGAAAGTCGACAAAAATGTTGGGGTATTTTTTGATTAAGATTTTCGAAATTCATTGCCGTTCTCGAGATATTTGAGAGAATATGTATATCGGGACTTGAGGAAATTTCATCAAGAATGATACTTTTCCAATTATTTTTTTCCAGTGAAGAGGCCATTTTGAGTAACAATGTATTGAGACTTTTTCGTTGGTCGTCTTGATTTCTATCGAATTTCGGGCGGAAAACATACAATTGTCACTCACCTTTTTTTTTCAATGAACTTGGAATTATTCCTCGTCATGACGTCGTACAATTTTCTTTGTTTTTCGTGATATAATGTTCGGACTTTCTCCATGTGGTAGGTCGTTGCGGAATTCGACAGGAGTGTTGGTGTATTTTTCGATTCAGATTTTCGATATTTTGTGCCGTTCTCGAGATATTTGAGGACTTAAAAAAATTCATCAGAAATAATACTTTTCCAATTTTTCTCTTCCAGTAAAGACATAAAAACATACAATTGTCACTAACCTTTTTTTTTTCATTGAACTTAGAATTATTTCGCGTCATGACGTCATACTAATTTTTTTTTTTTCGTGAAACGGTGTTCGGACTTTCTCCATGTGGTAGGCCCATGCGGAAGTCGACAATGGTGTTGGGGTATATTTCGATTTAGATTTTTGACATAGTGCCGTTCTCGAGATATTCGAGAAAATATGAATATCAGGACTTTGGAAAATTTCATCAAAAATAATACCTTTCCAATTTTTTTGTCCAGTAAAGAGGCAATTTTGAGTAACAATTGATGAAGACTCTTTCGTTGGTCGTCTTGATTTCTATCGAATTTCGGGCGACAAAACATACACTTGTCACTCACCTTTTTTATTCAATGAACTTAGAATTATTTCGCGTAATGGCGTCGTACTAATTTTCGTGTTTTTCGTGATGCAATGTTCAGACTTTCTCCATGTGGTAGGCCGTTGCGAAAGTCGACAAGGGTGTTGGGGTATTTTCTGATTAAAATTTTCGAAATTCATTGCTGTTCTCGAGATATTTGAGAGAATATGTATATCAGGACTTGAGAAAATTTCATCAAAAATAATACTTTTCCAATTATTTTTTCCAGTAAAGAGGCAATTTTGAGTAACAATTCTTGAAGACTCTTTCGTTGGTTGTCTTGATTTCTATCGAATTCTGGACAAAAAACATAAAATTGTCACTCACCTTTTTTTTTTTCAATGATCTTAGAATTATTTCGCGTCATAACGTCGTACTATATTTTTTGTTTTTCGTGATACGGTGTTCGGACTTTCTCCATGTGGTAGGCCTTTGCGAAAGTCAACAAGGGTGTTGGAGAATTTTTCGATTTATATTCTCGATGTTTTGTGCCGTTCTCGGAAAATTTGAGACAATATGAATATCGGGACTTGAAAAAATCTTATCAAAAATATTACTTTTCCAATTTTTTTTTCCAGTAAAGAGGCAATTTTGAGTAACAATTCATGAAGACTTTCTCGTTGGTTGTCTTGATTTCTATCGAATTTTGGGCAAAAAACATACACTTGTCACTCACCTTTTTTCATTCAATGAACTTAGAATTATTTTGCGTCATGACGTCGTACTAATTTTTTTGATTTTCGTGATATAATGTTCGGACTTTCTCCATGTGGTAGGTCGATGCGGAAGTCGTCAGGAGTGTTGGGGTATTTTTCGATTCAGATTCTCGATATTATGTGCCGTTTTCGAGATATTTGAGAAAATATGAATATCGGGACTTTGAAAAATTTCATCAAAAATAATAATTTTCCGATTTTTTTTTTTTTTCAGTAAAGAGTCAATTTTGAGTAACAATTTATAAAGACTTTGTCGTTGGTCGTCTTGATGTCTATCGATTTTGGGCGAAAAACATACACTTGTCACCCACCTTTTCTTATTCAATGAACTTAGATTTCTTTCGCGTCATGACGTCGTACTAATTTTTGTGTTTTTCGTGATACAATGTTCGAACTCTCCCCATGTGGTAGGCCGTTGCGAAAATCGACAAGGGTGTTGGGGTATTTTTTTATTTAGATTTTCCATTTTCATTGCCGTTCTCCAGATATTTGAGAGAATATGAATATCAGGACTTAAAAAATATTTCATCAAAAATAATACTTTTCCAATTTTTTTCTCCCAGTAATGAGGCGATTCTGAGTAACAATGTATAGAGACTTTTTTGTTGGTCGTCTTGATTTCTATCGAGTTTCGGGCGAGAAACATACACTTGTCCCACGTCGTACTAATTTTTTTGTTTTTCGTGGTATGGTGTTCGGACTTTCTCCATGTGATAGGCCTATGCGGGAGTCGACAATGGTGTTGGGGTATGTTTCGATTTAGATTTTCGATATTTTGTGCTGTTCTCAAGATATTTGAGAAAATATTAATATCGGGAACAATTTATGAAGACTTTTTCGTTGGTCGTCCTGATTTCTATCGAATTTTGAGCAAAAAACATACACCTGTCACTCACTTTTTTTTCTCAATGAACTTAGAATTATTTCACGTCATGACGTCGAACTAATTTTTTTGTTTTTCGTGATACGGTGTTCGGACTTTCTCCATGTGGTAGGCCTATGCGAAAGTCGACAATGTTGTTGGGTTATATTTCGATTTAGATTTTCGATATTTTGTGCCGTTCTCGAGATATTTGAGGAAATATGAATATCGGGACTTTGAAAAATTTCATCAAGAATAATACTTTTCCAATTCTTTCTTCCAGTAAACAGGCAATTTTGAGTAACAATGTATAGAGAATTTTTCGTTGATCGTCTTGATTTCTATCGAATTTTGGGCAAAAAATATACAATTGTCACTAACTTCTTTTTTTCAATGAATTTAGAATTATTTCGCGTCATGACGTCGTACTATATTTTTTGTTTTTCGTGATACGGTGTTCGGACTTCCTCCATGTGGTAGGTCTTTGCGAAAGTCGACAAGGGTGTTGGGAGAATTTTTCGATTTATATTCTCGATGTTTTGTGCCGTTCTCGGAAAATTTGAGAAAATATGAATATCGGGACTTGAAAAAATCTCTCAAAAATATTACTTTTCCAATTTTTTTTCCAGTGAGTAACAATTCATGAAAACTTTCTCGTTGGTTGTCTTGATTTCTTTCGAGTTTTGGGCAAAAAACATAAAATTGTTACTCACCTTTTTTTTTTCAATGAACTTAAAATTATTTCGCGTCATGACGTCGTACTAATTTTTTTGTTTGCCGTGATACGGTGTTCGGACTTCCTCCATGTGGTAGGCCTCTGCGAAAGTCGACAATGGTGTTGGGTTATATTTCGATTTAGATTTTCGATATTTTGTGCCGTTCTCGAGATATTTGAGAAAATGTGGATATCGAGAACAATTTATGAAGAAGTAGTGATACAAAGCCGTTTGGTCGCCAGAGCTTCAATAAAATGCCGCTAGTTAGCGTTGGCGCTGGTGTCGCTGGTGTCGCTGGTGGCGCGAAGTTCAAATTTGCAGATGGCGGCGGCGCTGATGGCGGTAAATTTGAAATTGTGAGGTTATGACATCTTAATCATGATGAATTTTTAAATAAATAAATTAAAAAAAGCTGTCACCGCCGGTGGGGGAAATTGAACCAGGGACCTTTGCATTATGAGGCAGCGTATATACGCACTGCGGTATTCCGACCTCCGTGATATTTCAATTATTTAAATGCTATTCAAACGGGATATCCATTGCTGACGCGCGCTTATCTTTGCAACGGATCCATCGAGGTAGAGTGAAGCGAGAGATGCATTCCAGAGATAAGAAACTTCGAGTCGAAAATAATATCCATCGCTGGCGCGCGCGCGCTTATCTTTGCAACGGATCTATCGAGGTAGAGAGTAAGGCGGCTCGAGCGCTCGGCGCTGCAACGTTGTCGGACGTATGTGTTTGGATGTTAATATTGTTACATTATTGTGTGTGGCAACGCTGTCTCGCTTCATGGCGTTCGAAGATCTAGCAAAGCGAGAGATCCCTTAGAATGATAAGCGCGCGCGCGCTCGTATTGGAAACAAATACTTGAATAATTAATTATTTATTTTTATAGTGGGTGACGCGTCATGCTGTTGTTTTTTTTCTTCTGGTAAAATGACATCACGTGACGTGTGTGGGTACTCTCTCAAAATAGGATTTTTTATGGACAATTCTCGGAAATGCCAATATACCTATATGCAAAGTCGCGTTAAACTAAGAGACCATGACTATCAGCATAGGGAAATACACGCTTTAATCTTAACTGGAACGCGGCCTGTGTTCTAGCGGGGAAGCGGGGTAGCTCTGGCGCGAGCTTATCGAAACCGCAACAATAACACTTTAATGACAATAACAAGATTGAATTTTCATATACAGGGCGTTTGAGTTGATTGAAAATTGAAAAAAAAAATATATACAGAGTGTCCTACGGTTCGCGGTCCCATGTTTTAGCATGGAAGGAGTGTTTGAGTTGAAAGAAATATATACAGGGTGTACAAGAATACGAAAACGAAGATAAATAATCTATTTATTTAAGTAATCCTTTTCTACAAAAATGACATGCCTCTTGAGAAGATGGCGGTCCATCCCAGTGTGTGGTCCAATCGGGACGATTATAATGAACGAAGCATGGCAGTTTGATTTGTAGGTTAAAGTTGCTGCGATATTCTTGAGGAAGTTTGTGCCACACCCTTAATAGCCCATAAGGATCTGCATATTCAATGAGACATTCTACTGGAATGTACTGCAATTCTTGTTCAGTGAATTTCGTCAGAGTCAAAGCGGGAGATTTTATAAACTCCAATAGCACAGCTATTTCAGACTTCATGATTTTTCGAGCAGAGCTAAAATATTTCAGATGCTACTAGTTTCGCGTCAAGTTGTAGACTGATGAAATAAATAAAAAACGAGTCACATATTTCAAAGGTTTTTATTCAAATCAGCCATCAAATCATTTTTACAGTAATATAGATATTCTCTGAGAGCGTTACTAGACATGCTATCGCAAACATCACAAAACCCTAATATAAGCTCTTGTGCACTCAAAACAGTCAGTTTATTTTTTATCCATTCAGCTATTACATTCATAATATTCTGATAAAACATAAAAAAGTCCAAGTCATTGATTAAATTAACTCGATGTGAAACAATGCACATTTCAGCACTCAAAATGTCTGCAACATCTTCCTCCACCAATTCGAATGTAATGTGGTATTTGGTGAGTGACAACATTTTGACACCATCGCAAACGAATTTGGTTATGGTGATATAGTCTCCGCAGGTGGTAACGGCAGGATCATATTCATCAACGAAACAGGGCAGGGGTGCTTCAAAAAAGTCTTGTTGTACCTTATACAGCGAATCGATGAAGGTGGCCCATTCATATGTGGAGAACGAAATTTTCGCTGGATGGAAGGGTTTCTTCAGGATGATGCTCGGACTAAACTGTCTAGCTGGACTAAGTCCGCACTGAATCATGTAGGTGGACAACTGGAACGATGTATTCAGCAGGTGGTGTGATTCGGCTTTCGCTGCTTGTTCAATCATGTCCAAATATGTATTGACATCACCATAATAACCCATCATTGATGATGATGATCTAGAACTACCGTCTTCGAAAAGCACTTCACTAGATGAATAACCAGAGTCTTCACTCATTGTTCTCGAACTGATGTGTTGAAAGTTTCAGTCCTCCTTATTTATACCATAACTGTTGACTGATCATAACATCCGGCAGATTGGAATAACAGGTTATTTGTTAGTGATCGATGAAAGGCCCTCTCATAGCCATTGAATGTGTGCTTCTTTTCCATATGTTTGCATTATAATTTATTGTTGGAATCAATCCAACTATTGTGTGTATCATCGAATCCCAACCATTTGACAAACACCTTTTTGCCTTTTTTTCTTAAAACTTTTTCCACTAGATAGATGTCAGGATTTATAGTTTTTTGCAATTCTTCAGGATAAAAAGCACCTTTGATCGGAGTACCATGCAAATCTTCCAAGAGATATGTAGTAGGTTTCGTAATACGAACTTTTACGATTTTAAATAGTTCAGTAGTCCAATTTGGCGTATAATTCTTTTCGAAAACATGTTTGGCTTTGCTGATTCTCACAATGTCACCAACGTTAAATTTTCTAATTCCAGCAATTTTTATGTGATTGTAGACGGATTTGAGAATGTCTTGTTCGTTGGCTTTGGTGACGTCACTGGGCTTGCATCTAATCGTCGTATGTTTCGTGTCATTATAATTCTTTGTGATTTCAGGCAGGACATCTATCCAACGGTATGAGCCATTCAAACTAAAGAATTTGTACAGTTTTTCCTTCAATGTTCGTATAACACGTTCAGCAATAGCTGCCTTCATTATGGTGTACGTATGATAATGGTTGATGGAGAACTTTTTCATCAGACTTTGAAACTTTTCGTTGTAGAATTCGGTACCTTGATCGGTTTGCAAATTCTTGGGAATTCTGTTGTTGGCATGCGATAGAATATCAGCAAATGCACGAGCGATTTCAGCACCAGTTTTTGATTTTAGTGGTCTAGTCCATAGGTACTTGGAAAAACAATCAATCACGACCATTATCAGCTTGTGATCCTTATTTACAGAGGCATAAGGTCGCATTTCGGCTAGATCCATTTGCCATAAGTCATCCAAACCTTTGATGATAATGCGGCGCCTTGGAAATTTTTTCCTAGCAGGTCTATGTAATTCATTGACGAGTTGGATTTTTTCTTTAGAATGTGACATATTGACTTCGTTGGATTAGGAGTTTATATGATGGGTTTCACACAGGAGGCTTCCTTTTCGGTGGCGGTGGTGTTGTCGTAGATTTTGGAGTGATGGCAATCTTGGCCAGATCTTTTTTCATTTGATCAATGACATCAGCAAGCTGGCGTTCTTTATCACGGCTGTGTTGTTGCTCAGCCTTCAAATCGTGCAAACTCTTCACAGTGTTGTCAATCTTATCGACAAGTTCTAGAATATTTTTCACATTCAAGTCGATGTCGCTTTTGAGTTTTGGTAGAGAGTTGTTGCGAAGCTGCTCCACATGTATGTTGTTCTTGTGCACTATGCCAGACAACTGAACAAAGTTTGTATTGTACGTTGCTAGTTTAAGATCATGTACATCCACTCTCTTCCTTTCTTTGATTATTTCGTTGCTGAAGCCAGCAAGGTAATTTCGGATTTTTTCACCGTAATTATCGAAAGCAATCTTGAAATCTAACTTAATTTGCGATATAACTTCATCCACATATTGTTTGTTTGCAACATCAGCGACATCTGTTGGCAGTTTTACGTTACACATCTTCAAATGACCAACATCAATATCACCGGTTGGAGTATGTGAAAATCCAGATCTGACTGTCACCATCTGAGCTGAGCGTGGAAACGAACCACGTCCGAATTTGTCGAGACTCATTATGCTAATGACTAAAGTATTGTACGTTATCGATAATGGTCGGCACTTTGCCTCGCCAATTATTAGCCCCTTCACTCATAGACATGCCATGAAAGTGTCACGGAACTGTCAAGGAAGTGTCACGGAACTGTCACGGAAGTGTCAAGGAAGTGTCACGGAACTGTCACGGAACTGTCACTGAAGTGTCAAGGAAGTGTCACGGAAATGTCACGGAAGTTGTCATGGAAGTGTCACGGAAGTATCACAGAAATGTCACACATGTTTTATTATGCCTGCCTCTTCTAATTCGTTCAAGATGGCAACAATCTCGTTATCGTTTGATGTATTTCCGGCTTGCTGTGATGCAATGAGCAACTTCAATCTATCTACCAATTCGTTTGGATCATCCCAATACATGTATTCGATAGGTGCTGTGTTGTATGTCAACTTCAAACCACGACCACTGGAATTGGATCTGAACATTGGACGAATAATTTCTACGTATTTGAGTCTAGAGGAGGACTTCATACGTCCTGCAGAATTCAGATGAGCTTTGGTGAGCAAGAGTATTTGCTTGTATGGGTTCGTATCATCTTAGGCAAAGGATGGATCATTATAGAAGAGTAATTGATAGAGGCCTGGGGTGCCACGGAACCGAAAGCCATCAAGAAGTATATCTCCAGTTCTTCGATGGAAATTCATTTCTTTTCCGTTGAGAGACCATTTCGATGTTACTGGATCATATTTGGGACCATAAACCGTATCGATATTTTCATCATTTGTCCAGTATTCAGTCAGATATTTTTGAGCCATCGCAGGATACTGATCAACGTAATCATGTATTGCAGCCGGTGAGATATTTTCACTATCTACAAAAAGTTCATCATCAACAGCATCGTCATCATCGACATCCTCATCATCATCTTCAGTATGCCCAGCATTATCAGCCACATCCATCATAGGTATGAAATTAGTTTGGTTCAAATCCGATTGCTCCCTCTCCACCTCCCCATCCTCTTCCTCCTTCTTCTCCTTCTTCAACCCCAACGATTTTGCTCTGCTTCGCTTGATGTTTGAAAGTGTTCCATCGAGTTTTTCTTCTATGACCTTGGACGCGGAGGCAATTTGTTTCAAAGGTGATGTCAGTGGTTGGAATATTTTCTGTAACGCATCATCATCCTCAGACTTGCCCAATTTTAGTGCTAAATATTTTCTTCTGATTGATTTCGATAGTTCGTTGATTTTTTTCTTGCGCAGCGCATCAGCAACATCATCATGCATCTTGGTTGACGTCATCTTGATGAATGGTCCAGAGATCACAGTCTTATGAACTTATCGAAACCATTTCTATATCTGCCAGCATTCATATCGAAAGTTTTTGCAATCACCATCGCACCATATTGGTTGGAATTCCAACACTCTGAGCACAATGCTTTAAATTGATCGAATGACATGTCTGGTGAGACATGCTCGTCGAACACATGCTTCAAATTCATTTCATCCTGTCGAAATAACACCAACAGGTTACTGTTGTCTCGCACCAGCTGCTTCGGTATCTTAGAAAAAGTCTGGCAAAGGTATGCTACGTCAATATCCTTGTGTCTACACATTGAAAAATATTCTCGAATTTTTTGCTGCTTGTCGCATGATACATCATCAAAAATGAATATCGAATGATTTTTCGCTTCTGATGGACTGATGACATCATCATTTTCTTTAAAGGGAAAATACCCAACACCTTTCACTGAATCCAACACTTGTTGCAGCAATTGATATTTCGGTTGGTACAACGACTTTGAATACACGTAAACGTTCTTGAATTTCGCGCCATTTGGATTGAACAGCAGGGAAAGCATCGCATTGGTCTTTCCACATCCGCTTGGTCCGCAGAAGATTGCTCTGAACGAATGGGGAAGCAGTTTCCCATGTTTACTATTTACTGGTGGTTTGGTTGACAAAATTTCATCCAAATTCACAATGGGTAACATCCGTTCTTGTTGAATGATCTTCATCATGTGATGATATATTTTCCATTTCATTAGGTATATGCAGAGTTGTCGAACTTCCTACACGTCAGTCTTCATGTTGCTCTACCACGGAGAGGGTGTGCTTAATTCTCTGATCGATAAACTTCCCATCGAATTACACATTCCAGGCTACAGATTTTGTGGTCCAGGTACCAAACTCGATAAAAGACTTGCAAGAGGAGACACCGGTATCAATCCGTTGGACGACGCGTGTCGAGAACACGATATCGCCTATTCACAAAATTCCTCAATAGAAGACAGGCACAAAGCTGATTGGATATTGGAAAATCGAGCGTGGGAGAGAGTCAAGTCGAAGAACGCTAAATTCAAAGAGAAGGCTGCTGCTTGGCTTGTCACCACCGGAATGAAGGTCAAACGAAAACTTGGCATGGGTCTTGTATCACAGCAATCCATATCCAACATTATCAAATTCATAAAAAATGTACTATCAAAGTCAGATGGTGGTGGTGGTGGTGGTAGTACAACATCAGGAAGTGGTCTGAATAAATCTGCATTGAAAGCACTCCATGCAGCCAGAATGGCAATCAAGAGGGCTGGCGGTAAAAAAAGAATCAGAGTACCAAGAATCATACCTCTTCCACACAGTGGCGGTATACTACCATTGATACCAATCTTTGCCGCCTTGGGAGCCCTAGGATCTCTAGCTGGAGGAGCCGGAGCAGTCGCAAAGACTGTCATTGATGCGAAAAATGCAAAGAAAAAGCTCGAAGAAGATCAAAGACATAATAAAGCAATGGAGGCTATCGGCAAGCAGGGTTCCGGCCTATTTCTACGCAAAACATCGAGAGGATTCGGACTGTACTTGAAGAAACAATCAAAAAACTCAAAAAACTTCTAGACAAGCTACCCAATAAATCAATGTACGATAAAGATGTGATAAAGTATGCCAAACAGCTGAAAATACCGTATTTTCGAGGTGTTTTTATGCGGGACACTCTACCTTCCACCGGTCCATGGCATCGCGAGTGTGCTGTATTGAATTTGGATACCTCCAATCATGCGGGCACTCATTGGGTGGCTTACATAAAAAATGATAAAAAAGCCTTATATTTCGATAGTTATGGTAATCTGAAACCGCCCAGAGAATTGGCGCAATATTTGGGTGCCAGCACGAAAATCTTGTACAATAACAATCAATACCAAAATTTCAATCAAAGTAATTGTGGACGTCTATGTTTAGAATTCCTTTTTAATGAGACCAAGTAACTCGGTCATTGTGCATCAGTCATGTCTCTGATAGTGACGTTGAAAGGTCGTACATCTACGCTCTCCATAGACTTTTTGACACCACTTCAACTCGATCCAGACTCTGATTACGGACTAGCATTGTTGGGATTCCATTCATACAACAGTATACCGAATATCGACAAAGGATCAAAGTTTTATCTGCAAGATAAGACCAAGGCGGGAAAGATCATCGATATTCCCGAAGGTTCATACGACATTGTGGACATTGAGAAATTCATACGCAAAGAATTGGGCATCTCAAGTGCAAAGGACGTTGATGATATATTCTCGTTGAAGCCCAACAATAATACACTAAAGTGTGAGATTTCGAGCAAACAGTTTGCCATTGATTTTCGTCCGAAGGATAGCATAGCTCAAGTCTTGGGATTTTCAAATAGATTGTTGAACGCACAACAAGTCCACACTTCCGATTTGCCTGTCAGCATAACCAAAGTGAGAACCATTCACATTGATAGCAACGTTACTGCTGGAGCTCTCTACAACGACAGACCATCACATACGATCTACGAGTTTGCAGTTGCAGTCGATCCTGGTTACGCCATAGACGAGACTCCCAGAAATCTAATCTATCTACCTATAGTCAGCAGGCGGGAATTGCCCAACATTACACTCCAGATTCTAGACCAAGATAACAGGCAGGTGAATTTTAGAGGTGAAGAAATCATAATAAGATTGGAATTGAAGAAACTCGCAAGATGGTACTAGTGTTTGATTACTCCTATAAATCAGATAATATACCATCATCAGCAACATCATCAGCACCAGTTCTCTCGACACCGTACACCAAAGCAGTCGTGTCTTCGAAGAGCAGCAACAGAAAAACATTGACATTATCCAGTGTCCTGTTTCTGAAATCACTCAAAGACTACAATGTTGTTAGCACCCGTGTTCGACGTTTTCCGCAAACCCAGACTCGACGAAAGCATCACTAAAGTGGAATGGCGTACCTATTATCCATATGTGAAATCATTCGAGAACAATGATGTCATCGATATAACGGTTAATCAAGCAGATTCGTGGTTGGCCATGTTTGAAGGCATCATTACCATCAAGGGTAAATTGAAGGTGACCGGTGGTGGTACTGGTACATTAACCCACAATGCTGGAGCCTATCTCTTTGATTCCTGCACCTATGAATTGTGTAATAAAGAATTGGACACTGTCAGATATCCTGGAATAACGAGTACTGTGCGAGGATACTTATGTTATACGCCTGAAGACTCACGTCATCTAGCCATAGCAGGCTGGAACTATCCCAATGCTCCGATCCTCAACACCGATGGTACGTTTAGCATGAACATTCCACTGAAACATTTGTTTTCCATCTTCAATGATCATCAAGTGGCAACGTGGGGCAAGCAGTCAATCCGTTTAGTGAGAGCTCGCAATGATGCCAATAGTGTGAAGGTTGTCGAGAGAGCGAATACTGCTTTGCCAGGATCTCCTCAGACTCAAAGTATTGCTAAAATAACGATAGAAAGCATCAATTTGAAAGTGCCACATCTCACACCCAACGATGACATAAAGTTGCAGTTGTTGACACGTATCAAAGCAGATGAGTCTATGATGATACCGTTTCGCCGATGGGAATTGCACGAGCTACCAGCACTCACACAAGGATCTACCATAGAAATCTGGTCCGTCAAGACATGTTCTGCATTGGACAGTCCAAGATATGTTATAGTATTTTTCCAAACGAAAAAAGCCGATAATTTGCATGAAGACGTCACCTTGTTCGATAATGCCAACATCAAATCCATACGATTGGCTCTGAATAGCGACTATTATCCGCAAGAACGAATGCTATTGGACTTTTCCCGAGACCAATATGCTGACGCTCACTTCAACTATACAGAGTTCAACAAGAGCTACCATAACTGTCAAGAAAAGCGCTCTCTAGTAAACTTTGCCGAATTCAAATCCCGACCAATGTTTGTTATCGATTGCTCGAGGCGCCATCTGGGTCTAAAGTCGTCCACAGTTGACATAAAGTTGGACATTGAAGCGACTACAGGCTTCCCTCCCGACACCAAAGCCTATTGCATCATCATTCACGATCAAATCATGGAACATCTCCCACTCAGCGAAATTGTTCGAAATATTGCCTAGGTGGGTGTTGCTGCATCAGTCAGACGTCAGTTTGCTTCGAAGAGTCATGGAGATCGCACTGGTTGACATTCAAGGGTTCATGGTTGATGGTGAATTCATTCCAAAGGAAATGACCATTCGCATTGGCAAAAAGACGAGTCATTTTCTATTCAAGCCATCTGTAGAATTTTCGAGTTTGAGCAGAGAAGATAAAAAGATGGCAAATCATGTGGAGCGTTACGTTCATGGTTTAAAATATTCCAGTGGTTATGTGGATTTGAATGAGTTGGATCAAATACTACGAGATAACCTGCAGCAGACAAACATCATCTACGTAAGAGGCCATCAAAAGATTCAGTTCTTGCAGCGAAAATGTGCAGAGTTGGAGATGACCAATCACATTGTTAATTTGGAAGATTTTGACAATTCTTGGTGGCAGCCAATAACGTTTCAACAATCCATTCCACCTTGCATGAATCATTTCCATGGAGGAAGGTTCCAGTGCAGTCTCCACAATGTCGATACTTTATATAATTGGTTATGTAATTTATTGCCAAAATAAAAAACTATATATCGTAATTTCAGAGTTTTTATTCATCACATCCCTTATTTCTCAGTATAATGAAAATAACATGTGAGATTAAAATGAGTGAACATATTAGTGTACAACAAAGTGTCAAAATTGCAATGATATTGACCGAATCTTGATCATCATCTAATTTTGCGGGGGATTTCTTCAATGTAAATGTCTGCCAGTCTCCCATTTCGCCGTCACTGCCATCAGAAAACGATAATTTCAATTTGTAGTCGATGCTGCTTTCATTAACATGTTGTGGCATGTCGATTGAATATACAGGTAGTTTGTTATCATTGACATACATTCTAGTCATCATCTTCCAATCACATTGTTGTGTACGATTCACATCAAAACATACGGCTACATTCCTTGTATTGTACGGTATGTTTGTGTAGAAGACGTTGTTGCTCAGAGCTGTCAATAGGATGAAGCTTGCTTTCAGTATCGCCATCTAGTAGCTGTGTTGGTTGAATTCTTCTTCTTCTCGATGTAGGTGTAGCTGTGCGTCTCGGTTCTGTGAACACCTTGTCCCAAACACTCAATTGCTCGAAATCTTTGAACAAACAAACTTTCTGCTCATACAATTGGATGTCTGCACTGAGCTTTCTAACTTTCAACCCAAATTCTTCTAGTGCACGTCTGTATTCGTCAGAAGACATGATACAACTGTTTTTTACATCCATACTTTCAACCCACATCTTATTACATCTCTTTCCCTCTCTCTCTCTCTCTCTCTCTATCTCCCTTTCTCAGTTTCGCTGTATCAAGCTACATTATAGCAGCCCTGCAGGTTGCCGATTGGTATAATTTGCTAACGATTGACCAACGTACATTTCAGGTAAGTGTCTTTCAAGGAATAACTAATGAAAAACCTAAAATTCAAACTCCCACCCTAACGATGTCTATTAGATGAATCATTCTCGATTTTAACCAGTAATAAAACCTACTGATCAACTTCAACACCCTCTATCGCGAAAACTAAAATCAAAGATCATTCCTTGATGTAATAGCCTGATGAAGAATCACTCTATTGAAATAGAAACATAGTTTTCTCAAGTTTGCCTGCAAATAACATATTACCTCCAAATGAAGAGAAATCTGTAGCACCAATGTTTCCACGCCATTCTAGACATTTTTCGATTGAGCAGTTGGTACTATTGAAATTATAATAGCGCGCCAATTTAGTGATGTCTGTCTTTAACATAGTGTATCAAACATATAGGCAAAGGATATTTCAAAGGCGAGTGAAAATTATTCTTTTTAAATTTATGAATTCATATTGATTTTGTATGTGTGACAAATAGTCTTAATTTGCATTAAGATCATTTGAAACTGATGTTTACTGAAATTTCAAAGTGAAAAGTCGGTGGTCGGTTACTAGATATCTATTTTTATTAAATTCCAGTAGCCGGACAAGTGTCCGACTACTGGCAAAGAAGAACACAACTTGTTGTTTCTTTTTGGCTTATTGATAATATGATCTATTGAGCATTTCTTTCATGCATCACATAATATGATTCTTTTGTAAAACTCAGTCCACTGTCCGACTACTGACTGATTCACCCTATACATTGAGAGGCTTAATATGAAAAATAGTCTTCATGTGTGCATATTATATTCAAGCATTGTTATGCATTTTATCTGCCACTGAATCCGCCGAATATTTCAAAATCTGATACTCTTACAATAGATGAACTATAGACAACAATTAACGAGTTAGTATAAAGGACATACACGGGTTCTCTTATCGTTTTTTCACGAAATCAACGAACTACCGAAATCAAACAGCTGTTCAAGTTGGAGCGTTCAAACAGGATGCCGTTATCTTGGTTGTTCTATATTTGGCGTATACAGAAAATCATATTCTTTCAAAGTCTAGAAAGATGATTAAATCAGCTGAGTTATAGACTAAAATTAACGGATAATAAAGGAAATAATCCTATTATTATTGATTCTCTTATCGTTCCATATGAGATACAAGGAACTATCGAAATCACACAAAAAACAGCTGTTCAAGCTGAAACAAGAGCTGTTTTTAGTCCTAGACCTAATATTCAATATCCCACACTAAAAATATTTCTGCTATACAGGGCGGGTCAGCAAGAAATGTCGCTACCTCGTTTTTCATTTTTGTGACTCTTAGAGTGATTATCATCGTAAAAATGTCAGTCGACCAAAGACAGTCAGCAAGTCAACCAAGTTTATGATTTCATCACACTACCTACCAGTCATTATACAGGGTTTTTAAATATATATTTTTGTATGCCAAGTTGAGTAGTCATTGTGAGTCTACTCGCCTAGCAGGTGTTGAATAAAAAAACGGATAATTTTGACATCATTTATTTTTTAGATATTATACCAACATTTTCAAGTTCAGTAAGAATAAAGGCAATCTCGTTGTTGTTCTTATCTGATTCCATTAAATATCTCAGTCTATCCACCAAGATATTCGGATCTGTCCATTCATCTAAAATATTGTACTCTTCATTCCCAATACTGGCTTCAGGCTCCACGCTCGACTTTGGACGTTTAGGCTTGGTCTTATTTTTGAAGAGGGGTCTGATAATTTTATCGAATTTCTCCTTATCAGCTTGTCCTCGTAATCGCCCTAATCGATCTCTATGAATAGAGCTGATTTCCAGTATCTGTTTATACATCTGGTGATCCAGAGGCGTGTAATTTCGAGGGTTCTTGGAAAATAATAATTCCAAAAGACCCAGAGTACTTTTAAAATCGACATTATCTACGCCTATGTATTGGTCCTCAAAGCGTAGATTCTTATGTCCAAGTGTCCATCTGCCGTCAACATATTTCGGTCCATAAGCATTATCATAATCTGCACAGTGATATTCATCTAATGCTTGCTCTGATGAATGTGGTTTAGACTCCATGATGTGAACGCTATGGTGTCTGATATACAACTGAAGACTCTTGAATACCTCTGAAGACATCTGAATACCTCTGAAGACATCTGAATACCTCTGAAGACATCTGAATACCTCTGAAGGCGTGATCTGAAGACCTCTGAATACCTCTGAATACCTCTGAAGACATCTGAAGGCGTGATCTGAAGACCTCCGAATACCTCTGAATACTTCTATAGGTGTGATCTGAAGACTTCTGAATCCATTAACTGCCATCCGCTAATCAGCTAGGTTATTCGAATTGGTGGCGTCCACTCTATGGGCATTCCTCATATGGTGGTATAGGTTAGTTTTATTCAAGAATTTCCCACATTTCTCACACAATAGCTGATGTCTATTATAGGTGAATTTTCTCTTTTTAAAATTTTCCCAGGTGTAATTGATGTTTAATGGAATCCGCTCTCCACTATTGAGGCATTCTATTATAAAACAATTATTACAAAGTTCTCGTACAGTACACAGCTGATGACAGCGCTCACAAATATTAGCCATGACTACTCTATAAGAGAATATATAGTTGTTTTCGTATCCTTCCACTCCCTACATACATCATATTGCAAACACCATCTGTCATACGTCATATGTCATGTATTACGCGACATCAGATATTTTTTGAAAATCTGACAACACCTTATCGACTTCATAAATAATAATTTCCAACGTCTGGCAACAATGTGACGGTTATCGCAAATATTTCACCATAAATTTATTTCGATGTGATACTTGTGTGTCTTATCTCTAGAACGCATCTCTCGCTTTGCTCTACCTCTACAGATCCGTTGCAAAAATAACCGCGCGCCAGCGATGGATATTATTTTCGACTCGATGAAATCTCCTGCAATGGCTTTGGTGAAATTCACTGAAGAAGAATTACAGTACATTCCAGTAGAATGTCTCATTGAATATGCAGATCCTTATGGGCTATTGGCTGTGTGGCACAAACTTCCTCAAGAATATCGCAGCAACTTTAACCTACAAATCAAACTGCCATGCTTCGTTCATTATAATCGTCCCGATTGGACCACACACTGGGATGGACCGCCATCTTCTCAAGAGGCATGTCATTTTTGTAGAAAAGGATTACTTAAATAAATAGATTATTTATCTTCGTTTTCGTATTCTTTCACCCCCATGGACCGCCCTGTATATATTTTTTTCAATCTTCATCAACTCAAACACCCTGTATATATTTCTTTCAACTCAAACACTCCTTCCATGCTAAAACATGGGACCGCGAACCGTAGGACACTCTGTATATATTTTTTTTTTCAATTTTCAATCAACTCAAACGCCCTGTATATGAAAATTCAATCTTGTTATTGTCATTAAAGTGTTATTGTTGCGGTTTCGATAAGCTCGCGCCAGAGCTACCCCGCTTCCCCGCTAGAACACAGGCCGCGTT